ATATCAGCAATTGCAGGGTTAGATACTCACAGGAGTCTGGGTTTGCCTGTATTTGGGGGGTTGTCCCAATTTTTATTTCTGGGTCTCCAAGTCACCGGTGGGGGGGGAACATTCCTCTTGTCCCACCAACTTTTACCTATATCCCATATCCCTGAGCAACGCTCCCATCCTGATATCCTAGGAAGGCCCACCCACATGGAGTAAGACCGGCCGGGTGCACTCCCTTGCATATCAGTGGCTTCTGCTATATGGGCTCCTTGGCTATGAAGGCTGAAGCCAAGAGTTGTGCACACAGAGGCAGTGGTGAGTGCATAGACCGGATCCACCTTTCTATTTCTCAGTATTTGTTGTGTGAGCGGGATTGCTATTAAATGGCCACCACATTGTTATCAAGGCTTTTATAGGGGCCTTCCCACAGCTGCCTTAAAGAACGAACCCCATCCTATGGTTCAATTGTCTTAGGATTTTCGGGGTGGTGGAGAGGAAACACTCTCTTGTTCTGTAGCCTTAGATAACTTTCTTTCCTTCTGAGGGCCTCAGTTTCCCTTAGCTGTCAAACCTGAGAGATTAGCTTTGTGTCTTAGGATAGGGTTGACTCCCTGTGTGCTCCACCAGCCCTGGGGGGCTGCCCACGCTTTCCAGCAACAACGGGGCCTCCTGCCTGTTACCTGGAAAGCAGTAATCAGCCCAGAAATCTTGTTGACAAAGCTGAGGGCACAGTTTCCACTGGAAAAAGAGCAGCGTGCAGGAATAATTGTTGCTGATAAGAAGTGGAAATCCACCTAGCAAGCCGTGTGTCTCCTGTCTCATCGCCTAGGGGCCCCCATCCCAGCTCTAAGACACTCAGACGTGATAGGACCATCAGCCAAGAGGTTCTTGGAAAATGGGAATGTGTAGCCCGGTTTCTATGGCATGACTCTCTAAGCGTTGATGCTTTGGGGTACCAGGTCATGACTTTGAAAGGTTCTCAGAGATATATTTCAGAGACAAATAGTCTCAAAATGGCTGAGTAAGAACCAACTCAAAGGGTAGACTTCCTGTCAACTGCAGGGGCGGTCAGCCACTGGATTTACTATTCTTCAGTTAGAGGTTAAATATGTTTGGTAAGCATAATAAATGTGCAGAGATGCTGACGTGCTGAGGACAGAGGCCGCAGACTGTCGTGATTGGAGCACAGGTGGCAGCCACGCGCAGGCTTCTGCCGGCCCCTTCCCTCCCACGGAAGCAGACACAGCCTCACCTTGTACAAATCATGAGCTTACCCAGGATCGATGAAATTGAAATGCGCCTAAAGTTTCCTACCTCTCCACTCCACAGCTACTCCACTCACACTATTAGATTGTAGGCCTTATTATTTTATGACAATTTGCTGTCTAGTGGCAGAGAAGTCCCCTTTTCTAATTGTACAATGATCCCACGTGGTGGCTCCTCTAAGCCCTCCCCAGAAAGACCCCAAGGGAGTGGCTTACCAGGCTCCTCCGAAAGAACTTGACCCAGCACAGCAATTGAAAGCTACGTGGCTTCTGGGCTTAATGAACTCTCTAAAATCTATCCAGAGAGAGTGGGTTGACATGAGAGACGGTTCCTCTTTTTCATTAAAGCCGACAGGAATGTTCTAGAAAGGCGCTAAGGTGGTTGGGTTAGGTGGTAGTAGGTCACCTTTCAATGCTGAGATTTTCTGGCACAACTGGTAACCGTAAGGGTTTCACATCGGGAACTGTAGCCTGCATAAGGTATTTTCCGGCCTTTCACACTGGTAGCTAATCTACGCATCTAGGGGAGGAGGCAGTGAGCCAGTGGTCATTTAGATTCGGCCTGCTTGGACAGTACCGCCTCTCTCCCCATTTCACTCTGTGCCCCGATCCTGCTTCTTCTGGGAGATACTGCTGAGCTGGATCTAGAGATATAGAGAAAGTGGGGTACAGAGAGAGTGAGGCAGAAGGAAGGAACTGTGTCACGGTGGCTGGCCCTGATACTGCTATGCCTAGGTGACAAGTTAGAAGGGTCATACAGAGCTCATCCTGGACACACACACACACACACACAAAAATTAAATTAAATTAAATTAAATTAAAAAGCAAGAGACAGGCATGCACACGCAAGTCCACGTGCAGAGTTCTTAGCAGGCACATAGGCCTGCTTACCCGAGAGGAGCCCGCTGTGCAGTTCTCTCTGTCAGTGTGAATGTCAGGAAGAGGGATTCTCTCCCTTGTGGGGAAATGACTTGGTTTCTGATTTTCTTCTAGAAAGACTGGAGGACTTTGACAACCATTAAAAAGCTGAGTTCTGACCACTGAGGTCCCAAGCTGGCTGAAGACCCCTCTCCGGGACACTCATTGTCCACTTGGGGTATATGGGGTCACACTGCTCACAGGGCTTTATTGCTCTTCCTGTCAGCATCTAAAGATGACGTGCCACCCAAGAATGGGGGGGCTTATCAGGGGTCAGGGATCAATTTCAGTGACGGCCTTGTTACAGTGGAACTTACTTGGAGCTGGAGAAGATTTCAGTGGTCAGCCCCTTTCCAACTCCATGTCATCTGCACGGTCACAACTCAGTCACCCTCGGGACCCCTCTAAGAGGTTCAGTTGTGAGTACAGAACTTAATCTGAGCTCAGGGTCTTTGCTGCCAGAATGTGACACCTTCAATTTGAACGTCACAAGTGGGGGCGTAGGGAGGCAACGGTTGTGACATCCGTGTTGGGCAGGAACTGTGTGATCTCATTTTTTGCTAAGGCGAGGTCAGGGCTAGGTCGGGGTCAGGAGCAGGTTGCTCTGGGGACAGCCCCAGCAAAAGCAGTAGGATGTTCTCCTTGGTGGTAAGTAAATTTAAGGGACAGGGGACAGGAAGTGTTTTTTCCACTGGTCCCCATTTTAAGCCTGTGTCTCTGACACACTTTCATATCAACTTGACCTTGGACCCTGAAACTGACTCTAATGTAATTTCTCCTGCAAGGTCCATCCAGAGTTTGACTGGACGGCAGACAACTGTGTGGTAGACAGAATTTCCCAGATGAGGGAGCTGGCATCAATTCTTCTTCCCTCAGGACCCGGGGGGTTGTTGTCTTTATTGTTTCTCGACTTAGTAGACAAGAAGGCTGTCCAGGCCTTAGGCTGGGCAAGCGGCTGAGTGACTCCCACTGGGAGTGTGGCAGGGTGGTTGGAGACTCAGCTGAGCTCCAAACACAATCAGCTTCCCTCGGTTCTCCTATCCCTAAGTCAGGGATAACAATAGTGCTGCCTAATGAGAGTGTGGTTAGGCTTAAATAATGAAGCCTGGGAAGATCCTGGAGCAGAACCCTGTACAGAGCCATAGGTGTCTGCTCCGAGGACTGTCACCGGGAATGGGAGGAGTTTGCAGAAGACAACTCTGGCACTGGACTTAGATTGCCCTCGTTTGCCCTTGCTGGTACCACCCACCACCAGGCAAGTCACCGAAGATGCTCTGAACTTTGGTTTGGGTATCTATAAAACAAAGGTTCTCCTAATGTTCCCCAGCTCAAAGACAATGGTGAGGATTAAGCAAAATAAAGTGTGTATCGCTTAGCAGCCCTAGAACATGTTAGATAGACTCCAGACATTTATTTTTTAAGTTCAAGGGTGATGGTCAACCTGGATGACCTCTGACCTCTGAAAGCCTTAGGGACTGAAGACCCGCAAGCAATGGCCTCCTTTTACCCATTGTTCTCATCCCAGACTTCCTAAGAAGCAGGAAGGAAGCCTAGCTAATTCGTATACTGTTGGGCAGTGTGGTCGCAGGCCCATGAGCCACGGGAACAGAGGGAACACCTGTCTCTGGGCAAGTGTCCTGTCTTTCCCCAGCAGGTACACCTCCCATCACTCATAGTCTGCAGTGGGCCAGCCTGGACCATATTGTGTAAGCTCCACATCCACCGCCTTACCTCTGCTGTTCCTAAGGAGCTGGTGGGAAAAGCTTGGGAGCTGAGAGGGTTGAGCCCAAGTCTTAGAGGCCCCCCGGGCTGTTCCTTCCTCTAACTAATCAGGCCACTGTGAAACAGAGGTCTCTGGAGAGCAGCAACAGCAGACAGACTGGACCATCTCCACTTGGGGTGTGGTTTAAAGTACCTTGTCAGGGTTCAGGTTCCAAGACCCTCACGCCTGTGCGTTTCCACACTCACCTAATGGTATCAGGGAGGAAGTGTGGTGTGAGCATATGTGTATGAATCTGTCTATCTCACAATGGACAGATGGAGGAAGAGCGGAAAAATTTTCCAACCCACCTTAGAAACCAGTCATGCCTGTAGGACCCAGAGTCTGGATCCACGGATCAGGCCTACCTCAGGCTTTGCATGTCTGGAAGAGAGCTGAAGTGGCAGGAAACATCCCGTTTGGAGGCTGTGTGGTTCCTCCCCCAGCCCCTCACAGCACCTTCCATACCCACTGCTGTCCTCTACAAACAGATCACAGATTGCTGCCTGTGGCGGCTCCGCAGAAGCCAGGGCCCCGGGCCGGCCACACTCAACCATCATAGTTCCTGGCCTGGAAGTCTTTGCAGTCCTGGCTGGCTCATTCTAGTACTCAACCACATTCTAGGCTGCCCTATGTTCTACTTCCCAGAGTATCCCCAAAATCTGCAAGGGGGCAGCAGGGGATCAGGTCTCTCTCAGAAGGGGGACATTGCGAGAGGAAGCATAAGGGAGAAAGAGAAGATGGGACACATCCAGGAAAGACCAAACACACTGGAGGACCCCACTGACCAGGAGGGAGGTCTGGTTCTCACCTGTTCTAATTGCCTCCCTCACTTCATGCAACAGTTTTGTGCTGCTTGCTCTCTGCCTTGAGGGACAGCCATTCTAATTGCTATCCATTCTTATCCCTGGCAGCAACAGCCCAAATGTCCCCAAAGTCACTTTCTTCCTTCCTGTTTTTATCTCAGTACCTAATCCCCCTGGTGTGTCTTGTGCTCCATGTTGAGCTCAAAGGACTGGCTGGGAGATCGAAGCTACCTTAGGTAAAATGTCTCCCCTTGTTCATTTCAGAGTTCTTTTGGTTGGACAGATCTGTGAGACTTCCCAGGAGAGCACCCTTGGGCTCTGCTCGCCCCTGCTCCTTCAGGTAGGTTTGTCCTCAACAACTACAAGCTTCCTAGCCATCTCTGTGTGTTTGAGTGGCAAGGAGAAGCCACTGCAGAGTAGCAGGCAGAGGAAGGTCGGGAACGCTGGCAGCCTTTGCACATGTGGGACCCATAGCAGAGAAATCTGTGCCTGGGACTCCGGTGTGGGGGAGAAGGGGAGAGGTAGACCTGCTGGTCAGTGGGGTCCTCCAGTGTGTTTGATCTTCCTGAATGTGTGTCCCATCTTCCCCCTTCTACACACACACCTTGTTCTCTCCTCGTGCCTCTTGGAATGTCTAGCATCTGAAACTCTTGAGTCCTGAGCCTCCTCTCTGTATCTGGATTCTGGTGAAGCGCTGGCCTCCTAGTTGCAGCTATAACTCCAGGCAGAACTGGCTGTTCTCTCTGCTCTCCTGCAACGATCCTGTTGGCTCTGCGTCTCTTGCTGCCAGATCTAGCCTTTCTGTCCAGCCAAGCGCAATGGCTCCCAGCCCCCATGTCAGGAGACCCCCGGATGTAAAGGCAGTGCCTCTCTTGTGATAGAACTGCGCTGTGCCATGCTGTGGCTCCTTGGTTCCAACTGGTTTGCATCAGTGAGGTCACGTGATGTTCGACTCGTCTTGTTGGACTGAACTAACTGGTATTCTTCCCCAGCTCCCACTTAATTCTCTTTTCCCACCAACCCTACAATATCCTGGGAGCCCAGCTGACCCCAGTTCTGTAGCAACACTATGGGGTGCGCAACACTATGGGGTGCAGCAGCATCTCCAGTGACCTGGGGTGAAACCACAAGCGTCGCAAACAGCGACAAACAGTTTGTTTGTCTTTGCTTTGTTTGTTTGTCCTGTTACCCCATAATGACACTGGGCCCTGAGATCTTTGCCCACATCTTAGATGCCTGCTATGTTCTGGAATCTCGTAGAAGTCACCCTGAACTTGGAGTCATCCCATAGACGTGTTCAGCCTTTTGACATTGCAGCGCAACGGTAGCAGCCACAAAGTTCATGCTTTGGGAGACACACAATTAAGTTAACAAAAACCATCAAACACACAAGCACACATAGACACAGACACACTAAGTTTACATTTTTGTGTAGAGGGGTAATGTTCATGGTTATCTTTGGTCACACATGGGACACGGCAACAGGTTGCACACATCTGTGTAGAGATCATGCTGCCAGACACGAGTCACTTTCCCCTTTATTTTTAATTGTTTTGAGATTAATAAGTATTTCAGGGGCTGTTGGGATGGCTCAGCGGGTAAAGACATTGGCTGCCAAGACCGATGATCTGAGTTCACTCTCTGGGACCCACATGGTGGCGAGAGAGAATCAACCTACCCTTCCCCTTGTCCTCTGACTTCCACAAGTGTACCATGGCATGTGTGCGGCGTACAAAGAGGCGTGCAAAATAAATAAGTAAATGTAATTTTGAAAACTTACAAAGAGAGCTTTCAGATATTCTTAGAGGTGCACACAAAGCATCATATTTTAGTAGAAATGGGATAGATACCTGCCACTCAGAGAGAGAATATTGCTCCTACATGATGCTATTCATGTGTTCCTGACCACTAATAGTTTCATCTCTTCGGGGCTTTTCTTTGCTTTGTTTGTTTGTCTGTTTTTGTTTTTTGTTTGTTTGTTTTCCTTTTAATCAAAGTATGTATATACGATGTATTGTGTGTGTGTGTGTGTGTGTGTGTGTGTGTATGTGCCTGCAGGTATTATAATTCACAAGTCTGAAATGAGCTGCAAAGGAAATATCCGTAATCTCACTCCTGTTGTGTGAAAGTTCTCAGGAATAGAGGCACAGAGCAGCCATCTGTGTGGCTTTCTTCTGGGAATGGCAATGTCATATCCTGCTTACCTGCTCCCACCTTCCTTTGTCATGAAGCTCTTCGTGACATTAAAAACAAAAGTAAAGTGTCTGGGCCGTACGTTTGCCAGTAGCAGCAGCTGTCAGCGTGCCTCGAGGTTGGCACTTCTCTAGGCTTCCCTCTGGGAGCTGTCACATCCGTGCTGCCTTACGGCTAGTGTTGGAGAGGTGGTGTTGGGGTGCAGTGAAATCAAACTAATGAGATTTGAGATTCCACAGGCTCCCAAACCCCCTTTCTCATCTACTGTACCTGAGCCTGGGGCAGAAGCAGACAAGCATCTCCTCTTCCCTATCTGAGAAGCTTGTGCTTATCCCTCATCCCTGTCTGAGAAGCATGTGCTCATCCCTCATCCCTGTCTGAGAAGCATGTGCTTATCCCTCATCCTTATCTCAGAAACAGGTGCTTATCTTATCCCTCATCCCTGAGAAGTATGTTCTTATCCCTCATCCCTATCTGAGAAACAGGTGCTCATCCCTCATCCCTATCTGAAAAGTAGGTGCTTATTCCTCATCCCTGTCTCTCTGCTATTTTCCTCCCGACTCACTTGTCTCAGGTCAGAGAGGCCACTTAGACATGTAATGACTCCGAGGGGGTTCACAAGAACTGAGAGATTGAATCCAAGAGCATTTTAGGGAGACCTGAGGTGTCCTAGAGTCAGCTCTGAGCCTCACAACAGTCAGAGGTAGTAAGCAAAGCTGGGGCTAAATTTACTAATGGAAAAGAAAGGTCAGCCATTTCTCGAGAAGAGCGTACCAGTAATGCCCGCTTACAGAGTCCATCTCTGAAAACAATATTAGCTAATTGGTCACGACTCACATCATTCAGAAGGACATTCAAACTCACACAAAGTGCACCGGAAACAAAAATAGAAAGATGTCACTAAGGACATGGTGCCCTGGGCTGCCTGGCTGCAAGCAGGCTGTCTCAGGACAAGAGCTTGGGTTTACGCACCCTTGTTCTTCCCCTATTCCTCTTGGAGGCCACACTGCGTAAGACACTGACTCTGATCTGCCTGTTCAAGTTGGCCGGGCAGGAGCCAGTGCCAGGGCGTGTGCACATATTTCTCCAGATCACCCCCGAAAACAGACCATCTTTCCTGATGAGGACAGTGGAGTACAGGATGCCCACTGCCTCTCCCAAAGGAGCTGGCAGGTGTAGGGTTTGAATGCGGTGTGATCCCGAGCCTTGTTCTTGTTGTCTTGGCGAGGACAGCCATGCAGCAAGGGTTTCAAAGAACTCACACTTTACTCTGTCTCCAGGAAGGCTCTCCGCCAAGGAACTGCCACCCACTTTCCACTAGGAAGGGAAGGGTGGCCGGTGGCTATGCTAAAGGCGCCAGCTGCATCTGGCATTGACTCTCACCATGGCTCTGGCCTGCCTGCTCTTCTTACAGGGATGGAGGCAATGGCAGCCAGCACTTCCCTGCCTGACCCTGGTGACTTTGACCGGAATGTGCCCCGGATCTGTGGAGTGTGTGGAGACCGAGCCACAGGCTTCCACTTCAATGCTATGACCTGTGAAGGCTGCAAAGGTTTCTTCAGGTGAGTCCCCCCTCCAGAGGGAAGACAAAGAGAGGGGCAAGCTTTTCCCTCAAGAGGGCCCCTATGCTTCCTGTGGAACATGGCAGCTCTCCCAGTTACTGCGAGGTCTTTTCTTTTTGGATCCTCTGAGTCCCAGCGTGTCCTCTGACCCCCCTCAGAAATTGCCTTCCTAGGGTGGTTATTTCTTTCCATTAGCCCTTGACCCACTGCACTGAGCCACATGTCTGTGTCCTTCTGAATGAACCCCCTCCTTGCTGAGGGCTACAGCTTCCTCATTTAAAAACCAGGCATGTCTTTGGGGAAGCCCCAGAATCTGACCTTTCTGCTTTCGTCTTCGACCCTCTACACTCATCCACAGAATGAGAGAGACTATAGCTTTCAATGGTTACCAAACTCAATCTGTGCTGGGCTCTTCACCCAGACTCTGCTTTACCCAGGTGATCCAGAGACAGTTTGCCAGTCAATATCAGAGGTGTACATCATTTGTGTTAAGTCAGTCAGGGCCAGTGTCTCCTCCAGCACTCCTTTTTTTTTCTTTCTTTTCTTTTTTTCTTTTTTAATTTATTATTTATTCTTCTCTCATATATTACAACCAGACCACAGTTTCCCCTCCCCCATATCCTCCCACCTCCTACCCCCCACCTCTCTCTTTTTTCTCTTGGTCCACTCCTCCTCTGGTTCCCTTCAGAAAATGGCAGGCTTCCCAGGGATATCAACCAAACATGGCATACCAAGTTCCAATAGTTCTCTCATGTGAGCCCAGGATTGCAGGCACAGACAGTGTATGGACAGCCCTGGGAAGGTCCGAAGATGGCCTTGCACAAAGCCAGAGATGAAGGACTAGAAAGGATGGGAGGAGGGGATTCGGGAAGCAGGAAGTTTGAAAAACTAGCATACAGCATATATTGGAAAGAGAATGTTCCAGAAGTAATTCCCTGGGAAATAACTAGTGACTGCAGATGGGTAGACAGAAGAACAGGGCACTGTCAGGAAAGGCAAGAGTGAGTCAAGTTCAGGACCAGACGACAAGTTCAGCCTGGCAGTCCGAAGTGGTAGGAAGTGGTAGGTAAGCTCACCTGGCCTAGGGAGAGAGAGAATCTGCATGCAGATCCCTGTTGTGGGACACTCCTCCATCACAGGGGTCTGACTCACCAACCCTTTACTCAGGAGCCAGTGTTCCATGGCCTGGAGCAATTTTGATCTCTGGGCACTAGGGTTTCTGTTGGTGCTAATTACCTGTTTGGCCTGGCACAGGCTGCCCTCTTGGCTTCCCAGAAAGCTGCTCCCTAGTTAGGGAACCAAACCAACAGTGTCACTGGCTATTGTTTCACAGTCACTTCTGTCAGACCTCACGGCAGTATGAAGCCCACACTGCTGGAGGGTAGGTCTTCTAGAGTTCAAATCTTATGTGCCAGGTGCCACCTGGGCTCCTTGCTGCCAGGGCAGGTGGGGCAGCCACCTATGGAGAGACAAAGTCTGGGTGCACACTGAGACCAACACCATCGTAAAAGTGGTCAGGAGTACATTGAGTGTTGTCCACGCCGTCAGTTTAATTCCCACCTTGCTTAATCATTCTGAATGCCTCTGTGTTTCAGCTAACCAACACTACACATGTGCCCACATCTGAGATCTAATGAGATAATACACAGAAAAGAACTGTGCGAAGTATAGCATACAGGGTGGCATATGACTTTCTGCCACACAGGCCAATGCTAATCCCCCTTGGAATTCTGCCCAATCAAAGTTTCTGTAGCCATCTCCCAATACCTGTCCTGGTATGTTTTCTTTCAAACACTCACCCATCAGCCTTGAATGGACATAAACCTAGGAGCTGCCACACTTGAGACTCACGAGAGACCACATGTCACCATCTCTAACTATGATGTTCCAACCATTCTCAGAGCTGTTTCATTCATTAATGGAGCCTCTACCCCCAAGTCACCTTACTCTTCCTATCTGCTTTTTCCCCTGGGAGCCAGCTGTGGAAAATGGAACCCTAAGGGGCAACTTGGTTGATCAGGATATAGTGAAGGTCAGTTTCTCACAAGAGGAGACCTAACTCTGATTCGTTTGACTGATGCCCCCAGAGATCATGGTCACTTTCCTTGAATTACGTCTGGTCTATAAATAAACATGAATGAATTCATACAGATGCAGGTGATACTCATTATGTGTGAGACCTATATTTGAAAATGTTCCCAGCTGACAGAATTTACCAGAACCGATCCTCACCACACCTGGGTTGTCATTTATGGACGGTACAGAGCTGAGTCACCTGGCACACACCCTCTAGGGAAAGGCTGGGCAAGGACACCATGCTGCTTTCTGTTCTAGCCCTCACTCTACACAAATGTCTTTGTGTTTTTGTCATCCCCCATCCGCCCCCATAGACCTGGAGACAAGTGCTAGACAAATGCTCTACCACCGAGCTACCTCTCCTGTCACAGCGCCCTTTTGGCTGGCTGATGACTTACTGCTGTTGTCCTTTTTGGAAAATTTTTTTATAGTTATTGGTGGTTTTGTTACTTAAAATGGTTCCTAAGTTAGCACTAAAGTGTTGTGTACTCTGTTAAAATTCGAGAAGCCGTGGTGTGCCTTGTGGAGAAACCACATGTGTGAAGTAAGTTTCATTCCCTCTGTGAGTGACGCAGTTTGTTGGTAGCTCATTGCTAATGAACCAGCCCTGTATGTATTTCAACAAGAAGACTAGATATAACGCATACATAAATCAAGATGATGAAATGTGTAACTCAAGGCTCACAGGCGACAGTGCAGCCTTCAGGACTCCAGGGTTTACAGTGGCTTCAGAGACAGATCACCACTCCTGTGGTAACAAGAATCGGCTACCTCACCTCCTTTCTCCCCTCACCTAGTTCAGATAGTTGCCTGAGTACTTCATAGACTTGTATCTGCCTATGCCCCAAGAGGTGGCTGGTACTTCTCTGTGTTAGACACGGCTCCCTTGGGACCACAGAGATTTGTGAGACCAAGATACAGTTCTTCTGGTGCTTTCTCTACCCCATCCTGACAGATGGGGGAGGTTTTTTTTCCCTGGGCTACTCCCAAGCCCAGGGACAAGCTGTCTTCTCCAACCATTAGTGTTTGGTTTGGCTTCTAACTACCAAGGCACGAGTTATGGTGAGCTCATAAAGTCCAAGGCTCAATCATGTCCAAAGGTGATTATGAAGTTTGAAGTCTGGGTCATGGTTCTGTTGTTCTGCGGTCGGGAGTTAAGAGTCCAGTGCTGGTCAGTAACTCCCGTCAACTGTTCCATGTTCTGTGTACTTCCTGTTCTTTCTGGAGAACATGAACACCACAGATGATATTTCCGGTGTAAATAAAAGGCCTGCAAAGTAAACTCGTGGATGCCCAAAGAGTCTTGATATATATTCAACAAGCAGAGCCTAACAAAGTCCCAAAAGGTGACAATATAGAGAGCTACCTCATAAAATGGTTATGAATAATCTATAGGTTGATATAGATTTCTAGTCATGAATGACCCTGTCTAAAGTCTATTGTAAAAACAAAGACATAAAAGACAAAGAAGATTGTCCCAGGGACTCCCTGGAGAAGAAAGAGATCAAGGTTGATGACGAAATTCAGGAGGGGGTCCCAGAAGCTAGACTGACAGTTCATCGTCTCCTTTTTGCCTTCCCCCAGCCAATTACTATCTGTCTACAAAAACCTTGTAGGCTGTCAGTGTAGCTTAACGGTAGAGTGTTTGAATATCTTGTACGAGGCCCTAGATTGAGCCCTGACCCTGCAATCAAACAAGCAAACAAATAAAAAGCGATGTTAGGCTGAGCACTGTGAGCTCCAAAGTAGGAGAAAAAAAAATGTGTTTTCATTTGCTGGCCCCATTGTCCTCAGTGGCCTTGTTGATTATGGGTCTTCCAGAGCACAGTGGGTGAAAGGCAGGCGGGTGAGGGTCCAGGAACACGGGGAGTGGTTCTGCTTTCAGGAACCGTCGCCTGTTCTTTCTAGCTCTTCTAAGAATTCGTTGTGAAGGAAGCAGAGAAATGGGGAACTGTTCAGTGGATTCAAATGCAAAGTCCGTAAATGAAGTTGAGTGGGTAGAAAAGACGGCCTTCTGTAGGCACAAGTCGGTGACTCTCAGGGAAGTCATTGCTGCCGAAGAGATCTTTGTCCAGGTCCCCTCTCCCTCTACCTATGCTACAGGCTATGGCTGACTGTTGACAGACGACCGCAAGAGTCACGTGTTTAAAGGAAAGAGAGCGAAACGTGGAAGGGAAAGTCAGTAGGACTGTCCAGAGGGACAGCCACACAGATATAGAGAAGCTTCCACTTCCTTTTGGCCATTCGGCGTCTTTAGGAATTGAGACTGTGGGAATTGGGGTACTAATCTGAGCTAGCTGCATGAATTCACCCTCATACCCCAAGGATCTAGTCTGCATACAGGCAAAACAGAGCAGGAGGCCACGTGGCTAAATGCTACCCCTTCACTTCCAACCCAGCCAGCCAGGGACTGCCAATCACCCAATCTTCTTCAACCCAGAGGAGTCCTTCAGACGGCCTCTGCTTCTGTTCTTGTGTTGGGAAGGCATGCATTTGATTGTTGCGTTATTTTGGACCAAGAGGTGACAGATTCATGACAGAGAGCCTAGAGTGCAAGACCAGAAGCTTTGGAGTCCCGCAAATCTTAACTGTATTAAGTTGTTGTCCTTATTAACTATGGGGCATTAAGCCTTCATTATGCCTTCTGGCATTGCTTATAGAATAAAGATAGGGGGCTGGAGAGATGGCTCAGCGGTTAAGAGCACTGACTTCTTACTTCTGACCTTCTTCTAGAGGTCCTGAGTTCAATTCCCGGCAATCACATGATGGCTCACAACCATCTATAATGGGATCCAATACCTTCTTCTGGTGTATCTGAAGACAGCTACAGTGTACTCATATAAGTAAAATAAATAAATCTTTTTAAGAAAATAGAATAAAGATAATATGTATTCAGCCAAAGCGCTAAGGTTATGGGGAGAAATATCAAATGTCGGTGAGGAAGACTCTTGGGATAATAGCTACGATGGATCTCTTGTGATATCTTACTTTCTGAGACCCTTTTCTCTGTGTCTTTGCTGTGTTGACTTAGGTGTGTGTGAAGTGGGTTAGCAGAGATCTCTGGCAGAAGTGGAAGGGCAGGACAGGCTCAAAATAGAAATAAATTTCAGATGAAAAACTGAAGGCTGGACCAATGGTTTCTGAAGGGACTTCCCTTCAGTCAAAGACTCTGGAACTGGACTGTGGTCACTGCCATGGCTGTGGCTCTGGACATCAGGAGAAACAGCACACAATGCAGCTCTGGCCCTCTGCTGTCTGTTGAGTCCTAGGCTGGACACCTGAAGAGGCATGACATCAGCTTCCAGGGTCTCAGGGTCTCAAGGGAACAGGTGAAATTGGCAGTCTTCAGTCTCCTTCACACTCCTGATCTACCCACAGGATAGATCTCTAGCCTGGGCATTTAAGGGTTCATGCCCTCCAGAAAGTAGTGCTATGGTCTTGACCAGTGTTGGCCTTCCTGAAAGTTCTGACAAGTATCTGCTGAGAGTCCATCAGTGTTGCTGCAAATGGCCATGTCAGGTGACTTTACTTGCTTTGCCCAGCTTTGACAAAGAGAACTGGTCTATATTTAAGGTATACAAGGAACTGTCTCTCTCTCTCTCTCTCTCTCTCTCTCTCTCTCTCTCTCTCTCTCTCTCCCTCTCCCTCTCCCTCTCCCTCTCTCCCTCTCCCTCTCTCTCTCTCTCTCTCTCTCTCTTTCATTTCTCTCTCTCTCCCTCCCTCTCCTTCTCTCTCTCTTTCACTTCTCTCTCTCTCTCTCACACACACACACAGACAGATACACACAGACAGACAGACAGACAGACACACACACACATACAAACACACACAGACAGACACACTCTCTCTCTCTCTCTCTTTCTTTCTCTCTCTCTCACACACACACAGACAGACAGATACAGACAGACAGACAGACAGACAGACACACACACACACACACACACACACACAGACACACACACCCTGTACTGTGAGGTGAGGTAATTACAACAATCAACTTAGGTAATGTGTTCCTAATCTTACACACTCTCCCCTATCTAGGACCCCACGTAGCTCCTGCACTCTACCCAGGCCTGAGGTCTCTAAAACAGCCACTGTCAGAACCCAGACACCATGTTGCTGGCAGAAGCCATCCACTTCTCAGCCTGAGGCCCTAGCCCCTGGCACTTTATGTTTTTGTGAACTTCTTGTCTCTTATGTTTTGATGAATTGGTCTCTGGCATGAGAACTGGTCAATGTCCTCTCTCACCCCTGGCTTTCTAGAAACTGCCTCTATATTTAGCTTGGTTGCACCACCCCCGGTCCCCTTCCTGAACTAAGGTATAATTGCCAGCCAGCCAGAGAATGACAGGGTTCAGATACAGAAGCAGCAGAGGCACTGGGCTCCTGTGGAATGAGAAGGCTCTTGTTTCTCAAAACCAAACTCGCTCATGGGCAATTAGCTTTGGGAGGAAGGCAGGGTAGGGTGTGGATCTTTAGGACAAAGCACAGAGCCAGGGCTGGGTGGCCTGGCTGCCCCAACTCATGTGGGCCGAGACTAGATGACAGCCACATGTCTAAGTGCCTTTAGAAGGTAGAAGGACAGAGGATAAATTGGTCTCCAAACCAGCAGGGCCTATGACCCAGAAAAATGTCCATATTAAAGAAGACACACCTGAAAGGCCAGCTCTGGACCCATTTCTGGTTCGAAGCATGAGGCAGCCAGTGAACTCTCTGTGACTCCCAGAGCATGAAGTCAAAATGTCTTCCCAGACGCCGTTCCTTCCCCTGCCTTTATATTTAGAGGAACTCAGGAAGAGCTGGCTACCATGCCTTAAAATAATATTTATAGTTTAACGGCTTCATAAAGGTTCAGGCCACTTCCTGTGTTTTGAGAATTACGACAACACTCGGGGATGGATGTGATATGAACAACTCCGTCACATGCCTTCATGACTTCCTCGTTAAGATGGACTGTAACCTGCACCTTTCCCTCTGAAGCCGCTCTTGTCACAGTGTCCTATCACAACGACAGTGCCTCACTGAGGATTGTAGGCAAGACCCCTGGAGCCTGAGGAAGCAGACAGGCTGTGAAGGGCTCTGGATACTCGGCCTGGTGTCCAAGAAATCCTCTGCACCACCAGAGACTGCTCGAGGCTTTGCCGTGCCACTCTGAAAGGCACATGCAGCAGTGTGTCTTGGCACCTGTGGTCTGGGTGGGTTTACAGCCAGACACGGCGGTGGGTGGAGAAGAGAGCGGGCCCCACTAAGACCTCAGACAAAATGCCTAGTTGGGAACAAAAAGGAAATGAGAATTTGCTCTGAATTAGAAACATCTGGTCTTCCAGGAGGTTGAGAGACTCGTGGGCATTTGTGGTGACAGGTGAAACCTCAAGAACCACGTCAGGAGGGAGGGGGAGGGAGGGTGCATGGCTCGTGTCCTGCAGTAAAGCCATGTGGCGGCTCTGACCTCATTCCCGGGTAACCCTGATGGTTCTCAAGTTGCTTTTGTAATCTGCTGATGAAAAGGACTGTCCTTGTAGTAGCAGTAGATATGCAAAAGTTGAAAGCTTCTTGTCCCCACAAAGGTAGACATTGACACACCACTCAATATCTCCTGGAGCTCACTCTCTCTCATTTACAAAGAGAGACAGTGGGGGGTGGGGTAGACTTAAAGCCTCACCACCCCTAATCGCCTGGCACCACCCACTTAGATCACAGCCGCAGCTCTGTTGTCGCCCCCTTGGGTAAGACTTATCGTCAATAGAGGATACTAGAACCAAAGTCCAAAGCCAATAGAAGGTGCTTCCTTCATCCTGGGCCCACTTGGCCTTGAGCTGTGCTCAAGGAGCAGCTGCCTGCGGCTGATTGATTGCGCGCTCAGCTTTATTGAGCACTCTGAGTTTCTAGCATTGAAAGCAGGCCAAGAAGATAGAAGCTGAGCCTCAGATCCCTAAGACTCTCTGATCTAAAGCCTTAATTTCTTACTGAAGAATTTTGTAACCTCAGTGACCCCATCTATTAAATGAGGTGGTCATACCCATAGTCTTTCGAGAGGATCCAAGGGTCTGTGAATGCTGGTGCTGCATTCGTGCAAGCTCTCCTCATGAAGAGACACCTTTCTAGAGGATGATTCCCTCTCAGAAGAGAAAGAATTAATGATACCATTCAGGTAGGCACAATTCGACAATGCCTAGACATTTAGTTTGATGACGTTCAGCAAGTTAAGTCTGGTGTCTTTTCCCTTACCCATGGGCACGAGTCTGATTGTCTGAGGGCCGTAGCTGTCTTAACCCCCATATTCCAATGACTGTGAACTGCTAGATTTTGGTTGGTACACCTAGTGCAGGGTGGGACACGGAATCACCGAGGGTGGCCCAAGAGAATAGCAAATGGACATCTGAGGGCCTTGTAGTCAGATCTCCATAGTTACAAACCCTGGAGACTGTTCTTGGGACTAAGGAGCCAGAAGGTCAGCAATTCAATGCAAAATTGTGCTGTCTCGGCAGGCGGAGCATGAAGCGCAAGGCCCTGTTCACCTGTCCCTTCAATGGAGATTGCCGCATCACCAAGGACAACCGGAGACACTGCCAGGCCTGCCGGCTCAAACGCTGTGTGGACATTGGCATGATGAAGGAGTGTGAGTGTCCAGGGGGGGTCAGGTGGTATTGGGGTGCCAGACTTCAGTCACAAGATGGCGGTGGTTACCGTCATTCAGGTTTTGCTCCACAGAGCTCTGCCCGTACCTACCATGTAGCCCCAAGGACCCAGCAAGGAATTGTGGGTAAAGAGAGAACTCGTATAATTCAGCAGATGCTGGGAGGGGCTCATCTGGGCCCTCTGGACTGGAGCACAGGGACTGGATTCTCACAGAAAGCCCCTGCATTTCCTGTTCACAATGCTGTCAGCGTCTCCACTCAGACCCCACACCCAGGCTCTAGGACATAGTCCACGTCCTGCCAAGATGTGGGCGTGCAGTCACTCTCTGAAGCCCTCTGGGCTTTGGGAATGTAAGGAAGGAGGAAGAGGCTGAAAACCAAGAAGACATGCCAGGAGCAGACTAAAGTCATAGAATAGAGCGGATTGCTCATGAGAGCCATAAAACACACTGTCGCTGGGAAGTAGAGGTGGAATCACCTTGACCCTCCTCCGTGACTAAGGCTCCTCCATCCTGATCCCAGCTTCCAGCCAACACTGGCAGCCCTGGAGTTTCCAGACCTTGGTTGCTGCTCATACCACAGGAGCATGCAGGTCTGGACATGTCATTGCTGCAACCTAGTCACTGCCCCACCCCACCCCCTGTGTTTATACTGGAGAGTGAGACTCAGAGGCCCAAGGCTGGCTAGGTGCTCTCAGACATTCTTAGTTTGGCCTGGTCTATGCCTCGTGCTCAAGGAGCACACAGAAGTACCTTGTCTCTGTAGATTAGGATACCCCTTCAAAGAAGGTTCCTTCATGTCCTAAGGTCCTCACCATCTAAGAATGGCTCTGAGTTCCATTGTTGGACTCAGCGGGCTGCTGTTGCTTACTCTTGAAGAACCTCTGAGGCCCAGAAAGGACAAACACCAAGACTGAGGTCAGATAGCAGGCTAGTGGTTACCTGAGACTACAGTTCAACTCAAGAGCCTTTTCTAAAACTCCCAGGAGCTCCACAAGTGGTAGTATCCCGGCCCTCAAGTGCCCAGTCAAGAGCCCCTGTCCAAGATACATGACATCTCACGATGGTGCCAGACAGACAGAAGTAGATGGCTTCCTCCACAGCAGCTTTGGGTGTCATCTAGGTACTCCGTGAAGTCTTACATGTCCTGTCTTGCCCTCAGTCTGGTGTTCCCAGAAGGGAGCTGTGCGGAGAGGTAGATGGAAAGGAGGAAAGGCCAGAGATCCAACCAGAATGGAACCCTTTCTCTCGGCTCTGGAGGGAAGCATGTCCCCAAGAGATGCAATTCCTGTCTTAGATAGCTCAGCTCCGTTTGCCTGGGCTTGAAATCCTGGGCTTCCAGAGCCGACCCTTGCACTGGCTTTTGTCCCTCAAGGCTTTGCTTCTCCTCTCAGAAACAATCACTGTTTTCAAACACTAGGAAAAGCACTATATACCCAGTCTCCCTTCTAGACGGAGCAGGGAGCCAGCCCTTCATAAGGAAGCCTGGGAAACAGAGGAGCAGAGACAGGTGACAATGGCAGGAACCAGTGTATACTGACAACCTGCTGTGTGTCAAATACTGCAAAGAACACAAATTTTCTTCTTAAATTCTCACAGCCCCTAAGCATGTGAATATTACTTTTTTTTTTTTTGCACCTAAGGAAAGACAAGAGAATTTACCTGTTATGCCTCTAGACTAACATGATATCAGCATCTATTCTGCCCTAGGTCTGGCTGTGGGCTCCATCCTTGGGAAACCCCTTAGACACTCCCAATGAGTCAGAACTTATTTCTCCCCCCATGCTCTGCCTGGATCCCTAAGGAACACACATAAGAGAGCTTTGTCTCTCCAAAGATTCCTTCAAGTCCTAGACGGTTTCATGCCCTTAGAATCCAAGACATTTCCTATTTGAAGTCTGTTTCTTATTCTTGTTGCTTTTGAGATAGGGTCTTGCTATGCAAGCTTGGGTGAGCCTCAACCCTCTGCTTTGGGGCTTCACTATGAAGTAGGGTTCTTGCGTCTTGCTACATCTGGCCAACTTTAATGTTTCACAGATGTGTATCTTGCCTCCTCAGTTTCCTGAATGTTGATACAGTACTTGGACATAGGAGATGCTCAGTAAATGTGTTAAATGATTGAATACCGGCTCTCCCTATTGCTTCTATCTCCAGAACCTCATTGGTCTATATAGACCAGTAAGCTTAGCCTAGATCTGATATTTTCTGTGTCATTCATTTGGGAAGAACATGTCGTGTCCTCTCCCCTGGTGTTTTGAACCCACCAATGACATCATGGCGTGTTTTAAAACTGTTCATGTTAGCAGATCTTGGCTTCCCCACTTGAGCCTAGGCTTCATTGGGTAGGGAACATATTTTACATGGAAATAACTATACAAGGTTATTTTGTGTCCCCCAAGAGATCTGCAAGGAAGTGGAGCCAGTGACCGATACTAACCCGTCGATTTCCCTCATTGTGGCGTTCACCAGAACCCGGTTACTAGGTTTCAGGCTTCCCTTCAAAAGCACATCCTCCAACCAGCAGTAGTAAAATCTAAGTCTCAACTCAGCAAGAAAATTATTTCTAAAATGCCTAAGAGGTTAATAAGCCCTCAAAGTCAATTATTTCACAAATGGACAGCAGTGTAGGTGAATATGTGAATGGCGTGTGGCTGTCCCGAGTCAGTGTTGCCTTGTGGAGGTCCTGGACGGAAGCCCCAGGGAGTCTCAGATTTCAATGCTCATCCCCAGCAGACGGGCCATGGCTGCCGGTCAATGCAAGCAATTGGGAAGACAGGTCTTAAAGATTAACTTTGAACTTTAAATTATGTACATATGTATGTATGTATGTATTTATTTATTTAAGCTGGGGCATGTGTCGTAGCACACATGTGGAGGTCAGGGCAGGGGGATTCAATTCTCTCCTTCCACAAAGTGGGTCCCAAGAACTGAGCCCAGGCCACTGGGCTTGGCAAGCCAGCCCTGATCTTTCACACTGAGCCATGCCGCTTGCCTCTGAAGGGTAACTCTGAATCTCTGCCTTCTTCCAGTAAGCCTCGGACAAGCTTTGTTCCTTTAATGGTTCATAGTCTTCAGCTTCACCTGGGACACTTTGTGTCAGGGCTCCAAGTCTGAGAGACAGAATCCCCCTGAGCAGTTCAGCTGGGTTCAATCAGAGGCAGATAGACTGTGGGTATCACCAGACTGCCCAGATCTGAACGCTGGCTCTACCATTGTTAGCTGTGCTACCCTGAGCGAGCCACACACCTCTCTGGGCCTCTGTTTCCTGTGCTGAGGATGATGCTTACCTTATAGGATTCTTACATGTGAACCAGTACTTATAGTAATTCCTTAGTACATTAAAAACAAATAAGTCATTCAGTATTTTTCTCTTCTCATTATGCCAAACTTGATCATCAGAAATTCTAGGTCCCTAAAAATCAAAAGTAATTCCAAGGCCGGGTGTGGTAACACTCACCCAGCACTTAGGAGGCAGAGGCAGGCAGATCTTTGTGAGTTTGAGGCCAGCCTGTTCTACATAGTAAGTCCCAGGACAGCTAGAGATACAGAACAAAAGAAGAAGGCATAGGGCTGGCAGGATTGCTCAGTGGTTAGAGCACCGGTGGCTTTTCTGAGGACAGGTTGGATTCTCAGTGCCCTCATGGGAGGATTGCCTGTTACTACAGTTCCAGGGGTTTTGATGCTCTCTTTTGGCCTCTGCAGGCACCAGGCGTGTATGTGATGCACAATGCAGGAAAGCCACTCCTAAAATTTAAATTAAAATGATAATAATAATAATTTTTTTTAAAAAAGGAAGGCATGGTTCAAGAAGCAAGCACCAATAAACAGAAACAATACAAAACCCAGCAGAGGTGTCAATAGAAGCCATGTCAAGTCATGCAAAGACCACGGAGCATGCAATTCTGGAGCTATCCCTGCGCCTGCAGAGTTTGAAGGCATCATCTGAGAAAAGCTTACGGTTGTTTGGGTGGACCCTTACAGATCAGTCTGTCTGGGAACGTTTCAGTCACAACTGTTTAAATCAAAGAGGTCAGCTTTGATGGGGTTTTCTGTGAACCTGAGTGCAATGGGTACCGTTCCTGACACTACGGAACACAGTCTGCCTGGTACAGTCCTCTCCGGCCAAATCTGTGCTGTGGAAATAATTTCCATAGTTATTTTCTGGAATGACTCTAACCACTGGGCCATCCCTCCAGCCCCTGTGTGTCTTTTTCTTTTGAGACAGAGTCTCACTCTGAGTCATGGGCACACTCTGTGCTGCTGGGCTTGACAGTTGGTGTCGGGCTACTTGGCAAGCTCTGTGGCAAATGTCCCTGACGAAGCCCTGAAGTGGGACAAAAGAATTGTAAGCCATAACCCCTGTCTTTAGCATCCTAGACTACAGAAAAGAAAGCCTCAGACTTCTTATTTCTCTGTCAGTGTTTACTAAAACCTGTACTAGCTGTGAGTCTTTTTGTTTGTTTGTTTGTTTTTCGAGACAGGGTTTCTCTGTGTAGCACTGGCTGGCCTGGAACTCACTCTGTAGACCAGGCTGGCCTCGAACTCAGAAATCCGCCTGCCTCTGCCTCCCAGGTTCTGGGATTAAAGGCGTGCGCCACCACCGCCCGGCACTAGCTATGAGTCTTAAAGAGTGGGAGACTTAGGTACCCATGAGTGTGCAAAACACTTACACAGGAGTAAGAAGAGCTCAGAGCCACTCGGGGCAATCAAGAAAGGCTTCCTGGATATGAGGGCAAAAAGCTGGCCGCTGAGGAAAGAGTCGATTATACATAGCTGCTGGGTAGAGAAGACCCAGGGGACAGGCATCCAGAACAAGTGTAAGCAGGTCGTGTTTACAGCTCAGCAATGCCAGCATGCCTAGAACAGAAGCTTTGTCCAAGGATGAAGCTGGAATGAGTTATGAAGAAGCCGGATCATGAGAGGCCTTGACTTCGATTGGATCCTGGCAAACAATGAAGATACGGAAGGTTCTAGGGAGAATAACATCACAGGATCCTGGAAGGGTTACCAGAATCTGTCAGGCTCATCAACATGCCTGTGGACGCCCACAGTGGGACAGGAAGAGCCCTGCCTCCTGAGCCCCCGTCTCTCCCTCTGCCCACCCTTCACACGGGCAGGAGAGACTGGACACCTGACCGTGGTTCCACAGGCCGTGACTTTTCTTTCCTTGAGATGCTCCTGGGCTCCTAGCTCCTTATCCCCCAACCCTGCCTGACCTCCTAGGGGTTGAGCAAACACCTTCTGTGAGAAGAGGGTTGGCAGCTCTTCCAGCAGATGAGTCAGCCACCTGGGCGTGGCTTCCTCCAGGTACTGTTCCCAGTCTGTGTACCTTGGGAAAGAAGACTCCATCTTTCCCAAATACTTCCCTTTCCTGCTATACCAGTAGCTTTGATTGTCCCCTCTGGCCTACCATAGGTACTTCTTCAGCCCCACCCCCACTGACTGCTCTCATCTTCTCTCTCCACAAGGGGCTGAGGTCAGTGGACTTTTCTTGAAGCCCAGAACCCGTTTACTGCTTCCAGTTCCTTCCCCTGCTCTTGTGAAACTCCTCAGCTCTGTAGGCAGATGCCCTGCCAGCTTGAGAACAGAGCGAGTAGGTACAGGCTGAGGCCCTAGTGCCCACTCCAAACACCAGGCTCTGCAAGCCCCGGCCAGGCGGTCTGTTTGTCTGGCTGCTGTGCCAGGCATCCTGCTCCCACCTGCCCTTGCAAGCAGCTGCTCAACACAGGGTGTCAGGCGCCATTGCAGAAGCCCCCGTACCAGCCTGCAGGAGATAGAAGACCCTCCATGAACAGTTAGCTACCTACTGTCCAGTGGAAAGGGTTCCCCCAGACTAGGGCTATGGGGCTCTAGACTCCAGGGATCCCAAGAGGGCTCAGAACATTTTGCATACCAATTCTGGAGGATAGAGATAGTATTTTGCAAAGAATCAAGGGAGCAATGTCTTTTCTTTTCTGTTCTTTACCTTTTATAGAGTGTCTTGTTTTAAAATTTATTTATTTATTTCATGTATGCGAGTACATCGTTGCTCTCTTCAGACACACCAGAAGAAGGCATCAGATCCCATTACAGATGGTTGGGAGCCACCATGTGGTTGCTGGGAATTGAACTCAGGACCTCTGGAAGAGCAGTCAGTGCTTATAACTGCTGAGCCATCTCTCCAGCCTGAGCAACGCCTTTTCATGTTGTTTAGAATAGAGCAGACGGCTGAGTTCCAAATGGAAACGGCTACTTCATGGGGTGGGGGGGAGGGACTGCTGAGCTCCTCACCTCCGACACAGGGAAAGCCTAGTTATGGAGCCCGAGGCATGGGCACACTTAACACTGTGCCAGGCACACATCCCCTTCTCAAGGCAGGTAGCCTAGCCTTCTGGGATGTTTTTCTCCTTCTCCATCTCTTCCTTCTCTTCCTCCCTTCCCATCCTCTCCAATAAAGAGACCTTGGAAGGGACCATATGCTCCAAACTGCTCCCTTTCTATGAACAAGAGAAAAAAAAAATCGTCCAGAAAGTCTGTTGTTTTCCCAAGGGTCCACAACTAGATTCCTTGGGAATCTAGACTTCGAGTACCCGACTCCATTCCTCTCAAACCCCTTTCTCCCGCACATGCCAGAAGACCCAGTTTTCTCAGTGTTAAGGCATCGGACCTAACAAGGCAGCTGGGTCCCAAGGAGCTTCAGTGTAAGGAGCTGGTCAGCTCCTTCCGTTCTGGTCCTTTTGTAGTGGAGAAAAGGCTCCTGGAGTTTTGGCTGTGACTCTGGACTCGCTGTCTTCCCTCCACAGTCATCCTAACAGATGAGGAAGTGCAACGTAAGAGGGAGATGATCATGAAGAGAAAGGAGGAAGAGGCCTTGAAGGACAGTCTGAGGCCCAAGCTGTCTGAGGAGCAGCAGCGTATCATAGCCATCCTGCTGGATGCTCACCACAAGACCTACGACCCCACCTATGCTGACTTCAGGGACTTCCGGGTACGTCTGTCAGCCTATGGCTTGAACCAGGCTAGTGGGGATTCAGGTATAGCCTAGGCACGGGGAGAAGGGATGGAAGGTTGGGAACCAGGGAAGGTTCGGAGGCTGAGCTGCCCACTGTGAGCCCCTCCTCTCCCTGCAGACCTTCACTGAAGTCTTTGCTCTCAGAGGCAGGAAAGCGGCCCTCAGATAGGGACCTCTTTGCCAAAGATTCTCCCCATCTTTGCCTTCCAGCCTCCAATTCGTGCGGACACAAGTACAGGGAGCTATTCTCCAAGGCCCACACTCAGCTTCTCCGGGGACTCCTCCTCCTCCAGCTCCGATCTGTACACCACCTCACTAGGTAAGGAGCACTTCTACCAAGAAAACGGGGTTGGGGGTGTTCAGGCCCACTTGCCCTGAGGCGATAGGGAAAGAGACAGAAATCTCCCATTGGCACACTCTGTGTGGCACAGGGTCCTCCACAGAGTCCTTCTTTCACAGAAAGGAGGCTGGCTGTGCAATATGCATGCTGGGAAGAGAGCAGTCTGGGGTTCTGGCAGTATAGACAACAGGCCTTCTTGGTCCGAGCCAGACTCTATCCCTGACTTCCTCCCTTGGAGGGACCTGGAGGTCAATATTCAATGTTTTGCTCCTGGAGTCTTTGGAAGGTGAAATTGACATATCAAGGTGACCTATGATGTAGGCAGGGCCCAGTGGCCTAGGCACTGGGGAATAAGCATCACAGTTTTGAGCAACCTGTCGCCTACTGCTTCTGAGAGTATGGCACACTGTGCTTTCAGTTCTCATACATTCATCTCTATCATCCTGTGTCATCCGTCCTTCCTCATTCTGCCTGCCCCTCCCCTTCTACCTCTCCACCACCCCTAGTGTCCTCCTCTTGGGGTCTGGAAGAAGGTGAGGATGAAACCCCCACTCTGGGTGATTATAGCCTTCAGATACTAGACCTCCCGATGTACACGCATGTGTGTGAGTGTGCGTGCATGTGCGTGCACACACACACACTAAAATTTTTAAAATTTAAAACTAAAGTTTAAAAAGGCTGAATAGTGTTGTGAAATATAGTAATAACAAGTCAAAATCCCCCACTGTTGGATATCTAGATTGGTTCCTAGTCTTTTAGTTTTTCTCTTGGGTAAATATTCCATTTTTTTTTTCTTATAATGAATGCATGGAACTGAGATTCCATAACTGTGCCATTGCTGTCTCTCTTCTCTTTCTCTCGTTCTCTCTTCCTTCCTCTCAGTCAATCTCTCTCTTTCTTTCTCTCTCTCTCTCTCTCTCTCTCTCTCTTTCCCTCCCTTCCTCCCTCCCTTCCTCCCTCCCTCCCTCCCTCCCTCCCTCTCTCTCTCTCTCTCTCTCTCTCTCTCTCTCTCTGTGTGTGTGTGTCTCTGTGTGTGTGTCTCTCTCTCTCTCTCTGTGTATGTGTGTGTGTGTGTGTGTTTGTGTTTGGGCACATAATCACTGCAGCCAGGTGCTAGAAGTAGGAGACAGATCCCTGTGAGTTCAAGGCCACCCTAGTTGACTATCACACCCAGCAACTAGAGGCTTTTCACTCCAAGTTTCAAATCGATTTTTAGATTACCTGCACAACTACACTTCTTCAGTAGCATCCATCACTGCAGAAGAGTTTGTGATGCTTCCATCTTTACAAATACGAGTTTATATTTGCTTCCAGTGTATAGTTGGAACATGTAGATATCCTCTGCCTTGTAGTTACTCCATCATAACAAAGGGGAGCACGTTGCCCCCTGGGTTGAAGGGCCCCAAACACATTTTTAAGTTGAGATTGGTAGGAACTGCATGTTTTGCAAAGCTATAGCTAAGAAGGATCATATTTTCCCCTGAGTATCTCAGGTTCCTTGAATTTACTGCCTCAAACAGCTAAAATAAGAGATGGGGAGAGACCCAGAGGCAGCCTGGGGAGAAACAGACCCGGGGTAAAGGCAGTCACCATTGGCTCCTCAGCTGACTGCCCCTAAGACGCCCAAGGTTCTCACAAGAGGCCCTGGCCTGGTTGTTCCTAAGTAGCTCCGCCTCTTTCCTCCTCACGGCAGACATGATGGAACCATCCAGCTTCTCCAACCTGGATCTGAACGAAGAGGATTCTGATGATCCCTCTGTGACTCTGGACCTGTCTCCGCTCTCCATGCTGCCCCACCTGGCTGATCTTGTCAGTTACAGCATCCAGAAGGTCATCGGCTTTGCCAAGATGATCCCAGGATTCAGGTAAGAAACTCTTGCAAGCCGGGCGGTGGTGGCACATGCCTTTCATCCCAGCACTTGGGAGGCAGAGGCAGGCGGATTTCTGAGTTTGAAGCCAGCCTGGTCTACAGAGTGAGTTCTAGGAAAGTCAGGGCTATACAGAGAAACCCTGTCTCAAAAAACAAACAAAAAAACAAAAACAAACAAACAAAAAACAAAAACACACCAAAAAAGAAACTCTTGCAATGTGTGGAGAACTGTCAGAATCCTATACAGACCTAAAAGATGATTGGCGGCTTTCCATTGCTTCCTCCAAACACAGCCTCAGGCCCACCCCAGAATGCCTACACCAGAACCCCTGGACCAGGCCAGGATATACTTTCCCACACACAGCTGCCCAGCATTGTGTTGAGAGCAGCCCCACCGCTCACTTTCTGGAGGAGGAAATGAAATCCCACTGGGATCTCATGACCACCTAAGATCCTTCTATGATGTCAGAACCAGACCGAGGACCCCTAGCTCCTGCAGCCAGTTCCCACTTGATTCCTCTGGCTTGCGACTAGTCTTTACATCATCCCTTTAGATCCCATCCTGCACGCACGCTTCTGAGTCCAGGATGAAGAAGTAACAGTGAAGACAACGTATAGGACTTACGGACTTGTGAAGTAATTCAGGAATCCTAGAAAAATGGCGGCAGGTTCACTGGCATACATGACCCGGCCATTCTTTACTCAAATCTGTATCAAAACACCATCTCCCGATCACACTAAGCCTTCTTACCAATGGTAAGATACAAAGAATCTCCTAGAGTAGGCATTTTGCTGTACAGACTCGTTCATACAGATTTTTCCATTTATGTCAGTTCGTTTCAATAATAATTGCATATGGAACTGAGAAGATGGCTCGGTGGTTAAGGGTGCTCACTGTATACACACGAAGACCAGAGTTCAGATCCTTAATACCCACATAAAGAAATCCAGGTCAGGACTGAAGAGCTGGCTTAAGAGCACTGACTGTTCTTCCGAAGGACCCAAGTTTGATTCCCAGCACCTACACGATAGCTTACAACTGTCTGTAATTCCAGTTTTGGGACAGTGCTCTCTTCTGGCCTCCATAGGTACTGTATGCATGTGATATAAAGATGTACACCCAGACAAAAACACCCAGACATAAAAATTAAAAAAAGAAAAAAATCCCAGGCTAGTTGGGTACAAATCCCAGCATTCAGAGGCAAAGGGAATCCTCAGGGCAAGCTGGCTACCTGGACTAGGTACATCAGCCAGCTCTAGGGCTCAGGAAACCTTGCTACAATATATAAAGTTATAAAAGGTCAAGGAGGGGTACATAATGTTGACCTCTGGTCTCCATACACAAGCCCACACACGTCTATACACATATGAACATGCACACACAGACCTGCACACACACAGACACCCCATATATATATACATACTTATATTTATATTACTATAGATTATATAATTATATAATATATATGTGTGTATACATATATAATATAAATGTCATAATAATATAATATATTATTAATCATATAATATATTATATGTAATATATAATTATAAAATATAATAAATGTAATATATAAAAATAAACATATCATATAAAAATAATATAATGGCATATATGTTAATTGTATCTGAGTATTTATTTGGTATTAAATATTCTTAAAACAATGTGGTATTGTCAATATGGTTAGATCTATACTTATGTATATTTAATATCTTCACTGTTTCCAAAAGTTCATTAGGTACATTTCTGTAAAAGCCGTACATAATGTGGTCAAGAAATAAGAAGAAATCAGTCAACACAAAGCAATGGAGACACCACTTCCCATGGTACCAAACACTGAAACTAGAGCCTGGTGTTGGATCCTGGGAACACTGGCCACTTTGGGGTAGAAGCTAATAGGGGGTGACTTTCATGGTTTTGCCCACCACTGTAAGAGAACGCAGTCAGTTCTTGTCTAAAGTACTACACTGTCCTCTTAACAGTGGCAGTTCGCAGAGCTAACATGGCATCTCCTAGTAGGTTTCTGACAGGAGACAATTGTCTGAGTGTTGTTTTATACTGCTCACCAACTCAGACTGGATCAGTGACTGACATGTGGAAGAGAAACATGAAACATGACAAGCAGTGTTGAGACACACAGGCACACAGACACACACAGAGACATACACAGTCACACAGACACACACAGACACACACAGTCACACAGACACACACAGACACTCACAGAGAAACACACAGTCACACAGACACACAGAGGCACATAGTCACACAGACACACACAGTCACACAGACACACAGAGTCACATAGTCCCACAGACACACACAGTCACACAGACACACACAGACACAGAGAAACACAGGCACACAGACACACAGAGGCACATAGTCACACAGACACACACAGTCACACAGACACACAGAGGCACATAGTCCCACAGACACACACAGTCACACAGACACACACAGACACAGAGAAACACAGGCACACAGACACACACAGTCACACAGACACACAAACATACACAGTCACACAGACACACACAGAGAGACACACAGTCACACAGACACACAGAAACACATAGTCACACAGACACACACAGAGACACAGACACACACACACAGTCACACAGACCCACACAAAGACACACATAGTCACAGATACACACAGTCACAGACACATACAGTTGCAGACACACACAGTCACACAGACACACACAGAGAGAAACACACAGTCACACACAGACATACACAGACACACAGTCACACAGATATACACATACACAGACACACACACAGAGACACATACACACACTGACACACAGTCACACAGACATACACATACACAGACATACACCCACACAGAGACACACTCATACAGAGACACATGCTCACACACACACATACACACACACAAACACACACACACTGCACCTTCAGCTGTGACGACAGGAAAAAGGGCTTTCTGTCAGCCAGCTGGGCACACCGAGGCTCCTGTGTGGGACGAGGCCTGGTTCACCCTCAGAACCTCGCTGTGGAACAGGCAACACATTTTTTTTAGCACGAGTTCCAGATCCTTCTATGGTGCTTCGTGCTGCTATCTGCAAACTCCATGTCTTCCAAAGTCGTGTTTTGTGTAAATAACTAGAATCAAAACATTCCAAGGTTCTGAAGTCCTTCTGGCAGCAGCCGGCTTCCACCTGATTCTGAGGAGCGCCAGACTCTCATCCATGAGCGCCATCTTTCCTCACTGTAGTGTGGGAGAGGGTGGACAGGTGGCCCCGAGAGCCCCTCTATATGCCAAACTTTGGAGTTTGGAAGCAGTAGAGGCAGCTATTATAGAATGCTTCCCAAGTACCTCCCATATTGCCAGCGCTTATCATTTGCTCCTCCCCTCTCTCTCCAAGGCTGAGACAATCTACTCCTTCCTTTCCTTTCAGGCCCCATGTCCCCACAGGGTTCACTACCCTAGCGCTATAGTCATGGCTGTACATGAACAGACATGAGAGCCACCCATGTATCTCTGCAGCGTGGGTTAAATGGTTAAACATCCTCCCTCAGGTTGGCTTCTCTTTCCTCGGCTCGGCCTGAGAAATTTCAGAGCAAACTGCTTTATAACAAAAATGGACCAGGCCTTCCCGGGAGCTCTAGAAGTGTAGAAATACAGATAACGAGACTAAACAGTAGGGATCTGGACAGCAGCCAGCCCGGCAGCTCTCCGGGTCTGCGGTTTCCACACTAAGGAGTTGTGTTTTTCTGAGAACAGTAGTTGCATCCCTGGCAACTTTGATCTTGTTGCCCGAAGGCGAGGGAGACAGGTGGGGAGAGGCGAGACGAGACTTCTGTGTAGGTGAGGGGCGTGGGGATGGGATGAAACGGCTTGGGCACAGGACCAAGCCAGGGCAAGACTTGATAGGCTCTTCTGAGCTTGCACGGCACAGTAGCGCACCCTTGGCTCTGCTCCCCCATCCTACTCCCACCCTTCACAATGCTCCAGCTCACCCACAAACCTCCCTCTTCGTGCTTCAAAAGGAGTACATGGAGGAGGTGGTGTCGGCCGGGATGCGCTCTGCGGATACGGGCCGAGCATGCGCAGACTGTCGTACACGGCCAGTGGTGTAGGGTACAGGACCACAGCTGCTCAAGCCCGGCTTGGTGAGCTAAATGCTTGCAGCCCACTTCCGTTTCTGGGGACTCCTTTTCCAGTCACAGGCTGGAGGTTGTGATGTTCCCTTTCCCTAGGCTCTTTCCCGTTCGTTTATCCTTCGGTTCAGCAGCTTTCTTGTATAAACCGTGAGGGATTGAAGTTGATTAGAAAATCATCTCTGGCCTCCAGGGATTCAGGGTCTGATGGGAGAGATAGACAGTGTAAACAACGGCTGCCAAGAGATAAGAACTGTGCTGGAAATTTGCTGGAGGTACAATACCGTGGGAAGACAGGCAGGGAGGGGCTGGCCAGACAGCCACAGAGTTCCAGGGAGCATCTCAGGTGCCCAGAAGTGGCCACAGCTGTGAATCGCTACGGGGAAGAGACAGCACTCGGCCAGGTCCTGGGTTAATACTTGCCAAAGCAGAGCGAGCTCCCTTCTGTTTCCTGGAACCATGGTTAGAAAGTCCCTGCCTTTCCCAGCTGTGGGTGTAATGTGGGGTCCTGGGAGGTTTCCCTCACAACAGTAGTCTGGATCATAAGAGACACTCATCCTACTGAAACCTCGTTTCAAGCAGCAGGCCTGACTGCTCATCAGTTTTGAGTAGAGCAAAGCCCTTCGTCACAGTGACATGGAGGAGCAGAAACGAGAAGGGGCCAAGATGCCTCCTGTGCTGCAACGTGATACAGCCTACCTACTAAGAACTAAGCTGTTTTTCATGTGCTTTTATACATTTTCTTAATTTCCCCAAGATTTAATAGTGAGCTAAAACACAAATGGAAGCGGTGTTTGCTTTGTTTATTGTTAGCTAGGTTTATTGCTTGCTTGCTTGCTTGTTTACTTGCTTTTGTCATGGTGTCTCACTTTGATGCTCAGGCTGGTCTAGAACTTACTATGTAGCCCAGGCTGGACTCAAACTCCCCCATTTCAGTCTCCTGTATGCCATCACTACACCTAGTTAGTTTTTACTTTTTTAATGTGCATTGAGTATTTAGAGGTATTTGGATACCATATTGTTAATCTGTTTGTCAACCATAAAAGTAGAATTCTGTAGTTCTCTTTAAAAAAAAAAAATACAGACTGGTGAGCTGGCTCTGCAGGTGAAAGCACTTCCCAGCCAAAGCCTGATGCCCTGAGATTAATTTCCCAGAATCCATGGTGGAAAGAGAGAAGAGAACTGATTAGAACTGACTCTCCAAAAGTGTCCCTCTGACCTCTGCAAGTATACCAGAGCACATGTGCACACACCCCTACACACACAATAGTAATAGAAATGATAAATAGATTTTTAAAAATTTAAATTAGGGCTGGAGAGATGGCCCAGTGGTTAAGAGCACTGACTGTTCTTCCAGAGGTCCTGAGTTCAATTCCCAGCAACCACATGGTGGCTCACAACCATCTGTAATGGGCTCTGATAATCTCTTCTGGTGGGTCTGAAGACAGTGACAGTGTATTCACATGCATAAAAGAAATAAATCTTTTTTTTAAAAAAATTCACTTAGCCACAGTTAGGGGCTCTCACCGGTGATGGGGAAGTCTGGAGGTTTGCTGTGCCGCTAGAACCTGTGCAAGTGTAGGATCCTCCCAGATAGAGACAGGCAGAAGGACAGGCCATTGGCCAGGCTTTGTGTAACAGCCTCACAGCTGGGCCCAGAGGCTGTGAGCTTGGCTCTTGGAGAAATCTGCGGAAGTCAACCACAGCCGTTCATCAGACATGCTGACATGGCACTATCCATGCAGTCTCCAATCGGAGCCTTCCCGATGTCATATCGGTGCGGTTTCTCAGTCCTGACCCTTGACTAGCCGTCTAGCCATGAAAGCCATTCACTTCCTACTGTCTATCAACTGTTTCCTGCATTTACATACCCAAGTGCTGCAGAAAGTGTCTTACCCTGTCTACAGGAGACTCCTACGGGGGAGTCTAGACAGTCGGGAAAGGAAAGGAGGGAAAGCCAGAGGCAAGTTGGCCTATCAGCCTGTTCCTCACCCCCAGCCATTGCCCAGACAAGCCTAGCTCCTGACTCACAAGACTGGCCTCTTGTCACACCAACCTGTTTATTGATCTTCTTGTATCCAGCGTTCAGTAATCACCGTGGGGAAACAATAAGGCAGTTAAGACTTGATATTGGCTCCCAGTAGCTTACAAACAAAAGTTAGAACTGGGAGACGCAACCACAGCTCTCAGGAGGCAGAGAAAACTCCAACCTGGCTGGGCTACATAGAACCCCAGTGTCCAGAATGCAAGACAGAGACAGAGATGAGGATGGGAAGGGAAAGGTCAAAGGTAAGCACCATCAGTATGAACTGATGACAAAGAAAGAGCCAGATAGTTGGAGGTTGGGATGCCACAGGACAGCACTCTGGTTTGCAGGCCAGCAAGGTGATGAAGCGTTAAAAGAAAGTGTTTCTGAACCCATCTGAAGCATCTGAGACACTTAAAAAGACAAAGGGTCTTGCTGTCAATCTGGAAACCTAAGTAATCCATGAAACCCACGTGATAGAAGAAGAGAAGATTCTCCCAGTTGTCCTTTGACATCCATGCGTACGCTGTGGCACACACACACACACACACCCCTCTGCATACACACAAGACAAATAATGCAATTTTTAAAAAAATGGAAGGAAAAAGTTGTTCCCAGCTGAAGCTCTGCATCTTCAAAGGCGTGATGTGTAGGAGTGCACATCGATTGAATGCAGAGTGGCCCCGTGTTGCAAGAATGGAGGAGGGGTGGCGTTTGGAATGGGAAGAGGCCTGGAAAGACCCACCACTGCCAAGTTGTGGAGTCTGGACTTGATCTTGGGACATCTGATCCTAGGGAGGATCCCGAGCACAAGAATAACACTGCCCTGTAGCAGCAGTAGCAAAGCCAATGAAAGGCTTGAGACTCTGGGATTCCAGTAGGAGGCTGTTGCACAAACCATGGAAGGCCATTGTCTTACTGTTCCTTTCCTGAGAAGAGACTCCATGACCAAGGCAACTCTTACGTTTAACTGGGGGGCTTGCTTACAGTTTCAGAGGGTTAGTCCATGATCCTCATGGCCGGAAGCAGACATGGGCATCACTAGGGAAGTGGCTGAGAGCTTTACATCCTGATTCACAGGCAGCAGGCAGAGAGAGAACCACTGAGCCTGGTTAGGGCCCTTTAAACCTCAAAGCCTACCTCCCCCAGTGATACACACCCTCCAACAAGACCACACTTACTCCACCAAGGCCACAACCTTCCCCATCCTTCCCAAATAGCCCCACTCCTGGTGACTTAAACATTCAAATCTATGACCCTGTGGGGACCATTCTCATTCAAACCACTACAGCTATGGAGACAGCTCAGTAGATCAGGTGCCCGGCATGCAAGCATGAGGTTCTGAGTTCAGATTCCCCAAACCCCATTTAAAAGCCAGATGTGGCAGTACATCTATAACCCCAGGGGTAGCAAAGACATCGGACATCAACCTCCACACATACACATACACATACACCCCCCCCAAAAAAAAGATGGCACTGAGACAGAGCTGTCCTAATGTGAGCAGGAAGTTAAAAAGTCAACGGCTCAGGAGGTGTTCTGGAGACAGAGTCATCTACGGTCGCTATTGAGAAGGACTAGACAACTGGAATACAGAAGGTGTTGACAGTAGTTCTGGCTACACCTTTTGCAAACCTGTGTTGTGTGGTACAACACAGGAAGCTTCCTTTGGCTGCCCCTCCCTGTCCGTGGTAGCTTCGGTGTCAGTCACTGAGCTACTGGGACAGCCTTAGGTTCTCTCTCTCCAGATACCTTCTTTCCCGTTCCAGCCAGGCTGGAAACTCTTGATGGAAGAGCCAGACACACGCTGGTCAGCCATTGGGTATAGCCCTGTCCAAACAACTAACCAGGTGCCCGTGACTTGAACCGGTTACCTGACTTCTCCCTGCCTGCCTTCCCCAACAGGGATCTCACCTCCGATGACCAGATTGTCCTGCTTAAGTCAAGCGCCATTGAGGTGATCATGTTACGTTCCAACCAGTCTTTCACCATGGATGACATGTCCTGGGACTGTGGCAGCCAGGACTACAAGTATGACATCACTGATGTCTCCAAAGGTATGGTGGGACTCCACCTGTACTTCCTCCAGCTCCCAGACTCTGCATCTATCCTGGCTCTGGACTCTTGGGAGTTTGACCAGATACATGAAAGGGGAATGCCAACAGCAGAGAGGAGGGAAGGGATAATGCCCAGGGGTGGTTTCAGGTAGAGTGGATGTCTCCGCCTCACCCTGGCTGTTCTCTCTCACAGCTGGGCACACCCTGGAGCTGATTGAGCCCCTCATAAAGTTCCAGGTGGGGCTGAAGAAGCTGAACTTACACGAGGAAGAACATGTCCTTCTCATGGCCATCTGCATTGTCTCCCCAGGTATGGAGCCTGGTAGGGAGGAGCTGAGAGACCTGGTACATGGTGGGGCCTATGAGTGACAGAGACCTGCTCAGAGCCAGCAGGGCAGTCTGAGGGAGGGATGAACAAGAGAAGCAATAAGGAAATAAGGAAATGCTCCCTTTGCTGGGTTTACATAGCCCAGGAGGCATGTGGAGGGGTCGCTCAACACATGTGGCTTTGTCTTGTGGAGGCCAAGGTGATTCATGGGACTTTGAGGAACCAGATGAGCAGGGTTCCACAGGCCATTCATAGGACTTGGGTGTTCCCCAGTACTCAGGCTCTGTTCTTGTATGACCTCGGATGAACTTGTCAGTCACCCGAGGTTCCTCGGAGGCAGGGCACCAATCCTTGGGGAGTAATAGACACTTCTGCCTGGGTTGACTTTGGAAGCTGTGGGATGTGACCCAAAGGGGAAAAGACTGAGAAGGAAGTTGGTTGTAGTCTTGGAGATGTTATATTGGTGATAAAGCCCAAAGGATAGAGACCTGACTCAGCCTGGACCACGTGTGCACAGGAGACAAACTAGTGGCCTATGGCCAGGAATGCCAAGGTGAAGGCCCAAGGAATAGACATGCGCTCACCCATCCACAGTAATGATTTACTGAGCACCTGCTATGGCCAGACACTGGACAAGGCCCAGGGAGTCACAGGAGAAAGGATAGACTTCTCTCCCACGAGAGTTAGGGGAAAACAAATGCTGGTATAAACCCATCTGCACTATGATGGGAGTTTTGAATATGAAGATGCTACTGGAGAGATCCTGGCATAGATCTGGGGCATGGAGATGGAGGGGTATCAGGAACAGCCTTCTGCAGGAAGAGCTTTTAGTCTGTTCCGTGAGAACCAGTGGGTCGGGGGAAATGACGAGAGCTGGTTTCCAGGCAAAGGGGAGATCTGTTAGCCAGAGTGGGAAGTACCTGAATACCAAAGCAAGGACTGAACCTAGAGACAGAAGGAGTGGGGTGATGTGGGTACAGGACCAGATGAGCCCACAAAAGGACTTGGTACCAAATGCAGGGAATGTCATCAGAGGGGATGCTGACATAGGGTACCTGTGCGATGGATACTGTGAAACTGAGCCGTGAGCATCCTGTGTCTTCCTCCATCCCCCGTGACACAGACCGACCTGGGGTCCAGGATGCCAAGCTGGTTGAAGCCATCCAGGACCGCCTGTCCAACACGCTGCAGACCTATATCCGCTGCCGCCACCCGCCACCAGGCAGCCACCAGCTCTACGCCAAGATGATCCAGAAGCTGGCTGACCTGCGGAGCCTCAACGAGGAACACTCCAAACAGTACCGGTCCCTCTCCTTCCAGCCGGAGAATAGCATGAAGCTCACACCCCTCGTGCTAGAAGTGTTTGGCAATGAGATCTCCTGACCAGGGTAGCCTGCAGTGGTGCCTGGGTAGGGCCGTTCCTCCAAGGCCCTGTTCCCAGGCCCTGGGCTGTATTCAGCCCAGCAGTGCCTCCTGCCCCTTCTGGAGTTCAGTCCTTCCTCTGCCATGGCCCGTATCTGTCTGGCCCATCCTTTCTCCTGCCCAGCCTAACACCTGGTCTCCCTTTCCTGTAGACTGCAGGTTGTTCCTGTCCCTTGAGACCTCAGTTAGAGAAGGCTGCTGTTTATTTGACCAAGAAACTCGAGTGGGGGTAGAGGGCAGAGGCTAAAGGCAGAACGCTTTACCTAGGGATACCTCCACCACAGGGGGCTGCTGCTCGTGTCAAGGGAGGCAGGCAGAAGAGATGTGTCCGTTCCTCAGGGACAGGTACCTATACCTACCCCCCACTCCAGTCCTACCTGCCCAGAGCCTGAGGAGAAATCTGGCTCCTGACTACAAAGGGTACACAACCTACCCATCATCCCTTCTGTGTCCCGTCTCATCCTGCCACCTGTCTGTGTCATTCTGACCCAGGGGAGTCGGTCACTACGGGGGCCTCCTTCCTTATACTCATGGATTCATTCACTGCCAAGATGACCAAATATACTACCACACTAACCAAGGAGCACTCACCTAGCCCTGCAGTTCCCATCTTTGAGGTTTTGCCATGGTAATCCCCCAGGGCCAGGACCTCTGGTACAGTGGGCTTCTTCCCCATCCCCAGAACCAGGGACCTAGACACCACCATTGGAAAGGCCCCAGGGGATGAAATACGGGGCCCAAGTAATGAAGAACAGACAAAGCCAGCAGGACAGTGAATGGAAGTCCGTCTATCTTTGTCATCAAGATGAGGGTTCTGAAGCCTGGAGCTATTGGGACCCACTCCTCTCCTCTATACCTAGTACACGTGTCAGGACCAAGTTGTCCCAATTTTCAGAAAGTCCCTTGCCCTGTCTTCATCCCTTACCCCACCAGTGCCTTACCACCTACCCAGGAAAGCAGGTCCTCTGGCCTCCCAGGACCTCACAGTTTGATCACCAAGAGTATCCCAGAAGTCATTTCAGCCACTCTATCACCCCCACTTGGAGCAGCAGGGTCCCATCCTCCACCCCACTGACCAATGAGAGCTACCTTTTCCTCCCAATAGAATGGGATGGAGGAAGACCAACAGCTGCCCAGATGGGTCTCCAAACCTGCTTTTCAGATGTAAAACCAGACGTAAGCACTCCCCACCTCAGGGGAAAGATGGAGGGGGTAGTCAGAACTTGGGGTACAGTGATATGGGACCAGTTCTTCCTGACTCTCACTTTACTGACTCTCACTCTCCCAAAAGTCAATGTAGACCTACAAAATGGTCAGGTGACGGGCTAGGGACATATCTTCAAACTCCATTTCTTCCTCTGTAGCAGCCTAGCCCAGGACTTTGGAACCCTGATCTCATTCACCCCAAATACACACCTTGCTGATCATGTGTTGTGGGTGTAGGGGACCTATACAGAGGAGGTCCTTTTCATAGAATGGCTCACAGAAAGTCCTTCAAGTGAATGCTTGCCCTGGAGACTGCAGTGACAATGGAAGCACCAATAGAGGGCTAAGGTCAGGGGGAACATGGCCCCATGAGCCCCATATTTCCTGAAAACCCTGGCATGGATCAGATTTAACATCGAAACAACCATTAGTGTCCACCTGGCCCTATGTTTCCCAGTATTTGAGTGGAAAACATCTGGAGTGGAAACATCTGGAAGCAGCTTTTCTATAGTGCATAACGGCATGCAGAAGGCTTAGTCTTAAGTCATTAGATCAGAGGTGTTTTCAGAATCAGATCTGGCCTGTTCTGTGTTCTAACTCTGAGAGTGGCAGCACCTGATTCAGAGCAGTGTGTGTGTGTGTGTGTGTGAGAGAGAGAAAATACTGTACATTAATGATTATTGTCACTGCATAAAAAAAAAAAAACTAGAGGGAGACCTTTGATTTTAGCTGCAGAACACATTGGTCCAGCTTACTGCTCAACAGAAGGGAAGGTCTGAAAGTTGATAAGCTAGTTCGACTCCTTTATAATGAGAACCTGACATCAGAGGAGAGTGTGGTTGACCTGGGCTCTTGTAATTAGAAGCATCTCCAGGCCTAGAGAAAATTTGAACTCATAGTCCTGGGCCACTTTATACTGAGCCTGTTTCCACTGCTTTGGTAGTTGAGCCAGGATATGAGGAAGCCCTGGGTACTAGAACAAACCTATGTCTGGGACTTTCCCTTTTCCCTGGGTAATAAACACATCCACCCATCCTAAGGGGGCAAGCACTCGGCCTCCCTGCGTGAGACTTGGCTTTAGGACTCTCCTCATCAGCCCTGTGTGCTACTGTTGTCCTGTCAAAAACATGCATCAGCCTTTGGAAAGCCTCCGTCTTCCCAGTCCTGGCCTCTCCAGGAAACTCCACAGGCCTCCAGAGAATACCAGTTTCTTAGCCCAAGGGCCCATTGTTGAGAAGCACCCAAAGGGAATAAGGTCTGGGAGGAAAAGACACAGGACCAAGTAGGTTTCAGTAGCTGAACTGAGAGGGAACAACATCATCTAGTTTTATTCTGAATTTAAAAGGCAGGGCCTTGAAGGAGCTCACACTTGCAGTAGAAAGTAGGGGAGTCCAAACCAGGTCACCAGAGATGGTTGAGATAAATGACCAATCTGGTTGGAAGTCAGGCATCACGGCTCTAAAGAGTTTCCTAAGAGACTTTCCGAGAGAAAAACAAAAGTGTTTTCCAGGAGCTTGCCAAATAAACCAATGAAAAAGCTTTGCCAATGGTAATAAGAGATACTCATACTTTCATAGCGCTTGCTACGTGACAAGTACCCGCTGTAAATAAAAGCCTCGTGAAAACCAACTTGCTTGATCTTTCTATGAACCCCATGGAAGATGGAGTTGGTTTGTCTCCACATGGTGGAGGGGATTCGTCACCCAAAGCTCACTGGTGGTGAGTGAGAGGAGGGATTTAGACCTGGGCACCTATCTCTGGAAGCCTTAATTAGTTGCAACCTTCTACTGCTCCCTACAGAGTTAGGTGATATGACAAATGATAGGCCCTCCTGCTATCCACCCGAAGGAGGATATGAGGGAGGTTTCTATTCAGAGATGGGGAAAGTGGAGGTGCTGGATCACATAGTGCTCTGTCCCTAGAAGTATTTGGCCTAATGTGTAGACCCAATGAGCTGCGGCACTTGCCAAAGAGCATCAAGAACGAAAGCTAAGTGATTACTGGTAACAGTAGCTCTTGGGTTAGAAACAGCTACACGGAGTGTTACAGTAACTCCATGAGTACCAAGCAGAGTGCGAAAGACTTAGCATGAAAGGATTCCCAACCAAGGACTCAGGAGAATTGCAATGTCACTGTCGTGGCCCACCCATGGTTTGTTTTTTAGGTTGGTTCAGAAACCTGGGGGTGTGATTTACTTTAATTTACAGAAACATCTGAAAAGTTTTCCAGCTACGAGCTAAGATATCCCAGCGGAAAGAGATGGGACTAGAGGGACAGGAGCCAGGGCGAGGGGCCTTTGTCATGAAAAACAAGTTGACTTAGAGACAGAAACCCATAGCTGCCTGAGGGGGGCTTGTCTCTGTCTGTGGGAATGTGAAAGTGAGAAACAGCTGAGATCCTTAGTGATCTCAGAGATGACGCAGGAGGACACGGAGTCTGGAAAAACAGTCTTAAAATCAGATCAAAATGATTTTGAGTTTTCACATTCCAAGATTTTCTTTTGTTCTATACCTGCACTGTTGAACCACATAATTTCAGTTATGTTTTTTTGTTTTGTTTTTTGTTTTTTCAGAGCTGAGGACCAAACCCAGGGCCTTGTACTTGCTAGGCAAGCACTCTACCACTGAGCTAAATCCCTAACCCCATGTTTTTTGCTTTTCAAGGCAAAGGTTTCTCAGTGTAGCCCTAGCTGTACTGAACTCACTCTGCAGACCAAGTTGGCCTTGAACTCAGAGATCGGCCTCCCAAGTGCTGAAATTAAAGTCATGCAACACTATGCCCTGTTGAATCACTTTCATTTAAAAACATTAAAATCAAAGCAAAGGAAGGAAGACACCCAAGCGCCTGCCCTGGCCCTGTGGCAGACGCCATTACAGTGAGGAAATATGGAGAGATGGGAAAGATGGAACACACGATAGAGAAGAGGGAGAGAGTGCTAAGCCAAGAGGTTTGGGCGCTGTGGAGACAGGTGGAACTGGAGATGTGGTGGTGGTGAGGAATGGGCAGAGAGGAGAAGCCATGGTAAGGTCCTGGCACCTGCTGCTGTCAAGGGCCATGTCTGGGTCCACGGTCCTACCGCAGCAGCTGGGGTCTGTACTGATGTCTACAGCTCATGCTGCCACCAAAGGCCATGCGAATGTCTGTGGTCTGAGCTGCCATCGGAGACCATGTGAATATCTGAGGGCCATGCTGCCTCAGGGGACATACTGATCTGAGTGCCACCTGAAGCTACTGTGACATCTAGGCCCATGCCACCACAAGGGGGCCATGTCTGGGTCTGTGGTCTTATTGAAGCCAGGCCCTTGTTACCACCAAAGGTCATACAGATGTCACTGGTCTGGGCTGCTGCCTGCAGCCATGTTGATGTTCAAGCACTGTGCTGAACTGGACCTGCCCTCACCAACCACCACACTTGGGAGAGGGAGTTGGCCCCACCCCTCTCTGGCTGTGACACCTGGGAGAGCTGCCCCCCCCACCCCACCTGGGCAAAGCTGGAGAGCTAGCCCTGGTGGTGTGGGTGCAGGAGAGCTGGTGGGCTGACCAACTTAGCTCCCACCCAGACCTAGATCTAGGCCTCTGAGTTGACCCACGCCAACATACACCCCATCTATGAACTGCTGGAGTGTGTGAAGGGGCTGGTCCTGCAGATCCAAAGCTGCGGGATCTCCATGACACAGAGCAACAACAGGACCTCGGAGAAGAGTTACAGTAAGGAGCCGGTATGGACAGTATAGCAGAAGCCAGAGGCCTCAAACCAAACCTGGATCATTGCAGTGAACATTTGAGGTAAACCTGTTTGGGGCAAAAGGCTATCCTGTGTGATATACCGGAACACACTACAACTTCCACAGTGGGATTTTGTTGTTGTTTATTTGTTCTGTTTTTCTTTTCTTTTAGGGGGTAGATTGCAAGGATAGAGGGCAGATATGAAGGGATGGGGAAATGAATGGAATCGGGGTGTGTGATGTGAAATTCACAAAGAACCAAAGTTAAAGAAAGTTAAATTTTTTAAAAAAAATCAATAAACTCACAAAAAAATAAAGAAAGAAAGAAAGAAAGAAAGAAAGGAGGAAGAAAGAAAGAAAGAAAGAAAGAAAGAAAGAAAGAAAGAAAGAAAGAAAAGGAAAAAAGTCAAACTAAAGGTCAGATGTGGCAGCATACACCTTTAACCCTAGTACTTGGGAGGCAGAGGCAGGCAGATTTCTGCGGGTTCAAGGCCAGCTTGGTCAATAAAGTAAGTTCAAGGACAGCAATGACTATGTAGAGAAACTCTGTCTCAAAACAAAAAAAAAACCAAACAGACAAACAAAAGGGCATTTCTACTAGACATTTCATGGAAAAAGAATCTCATAACTGTGAAAAATTAAACCAAAATAAGCATTCAACTCTTTAACTGGATAAGCCACGGCTCTCAGAGTTTCTGGAGCTCAGGGGCCTCAGAGCTTCCATTCAGGATAACGTACCATCGGGCAGGGATGGTCTATCCCAAGCAGTTTCCCTAGTGCTGTATATTTTGGAGACAGAGAATTACCATATGCCACAGGCTGACCTGGAACTTACTATACAGCACAAACTAATTTCAAGCTCAACCCTCCTGGTGGTGTGAGAGGGGAGATGTTGTGGGCTGGGCTCGATGCTCCAGACATCAGCTCTGAGTCTCTGTGCCCCACATACTGGGGCAGTGTTGTGAGTGAGGACCAAGGAAAGATACCTTAAAATGTAGTTTGAAGGCCAGAGAGGTCTTCTCCATACTGGAGAGAGATCTTGAGAGGTAGCTTGAGACAGAGGGTGAGGCTGGGCTGAGAAACATTCCATCGAAGATCCTAATGCCTCTCAGAGGGAACTTGGAGTTA